TCTGCATCTTGTACAGCAATTAACCACTAGGAAGAATGTATACAATGTGTTAATTATTGAAACTGTCCTACCAATTTGGTTTGAAACTGTCTCACTGCTATTTGTTTCTCAATAAAATTATGGGGAAAAAAATCTTTAAAAGCCTATATTGTCTTTTTAAAAATACATTTCACTGTTAAATACCTTATCTCAAATAGATTTTCTGTATTTGTTACAGAGAACGATGAAGAGACACCTGTTAAACGGCAGAGGACTGATAATGGCTTCTTAGAAGAAAAAAGAGAAACTGTTCCAAATACTTAATTGGAAATGTTTTTTCCATCTTACCACTATACTGTTATCTAGTGAACTATGATTTGTATAATTTCATAAAAATTTAATATTGAACTCATAGTATTTTCCCCCTTCTATCTTACCTTACCCAAATTAAAGTCTGGCTGAAAACTACTTTGATCTAAATCATACTATGTAATTGTGCTAGTCTAATTTCCCATTGCTGAGATACAGGAAGACACCTGCCACTTGGAGGCTAAATTTAGCTTATGTTTTCAGGAAGTTCAGTACATAGTTTGCAGGCTCCAAAACAGAAACATGAAGCACACAGGCATGAGTGCAAATCTGTGTAGTTCCTCGTGGCCAGAAAACAGCAGGGCAACACTGCTTGACAGAAATGGGCTGGAGAGGAGAAGACGTGCTAAAGACCATGAGAATGTTCTTACATTTTCAAATAGCTGAAAAAAAAAAATCAAAATATTCTGACAAGTAAAAACTATGAAATTTAAAAGAGCACTAGAAAGAAAATGAGGTTGGGAAGGGAAGAAAGGAGGCAAAAAGAATCCAGGGAAAATGAAGAGTATTGGACTTTTCCAAGAACACTTGGTTAGAGTTAAGAATAGTGGAAAGAATATCAATAGTCAATTAAAAAGGCAAATAATTCTGAATAGCTTTTGCCTCTTAATGGTTCAACAACAGATGTTACTAATACTGCTTTTTAAAGGCATTGCTGCCAAGCTTGAAGTGACTACTGATACAGCTTCTATGAATATTCTCA